CTACATGCACTTAAACGAGTTTTGATAGTGCGGCTGTAGGGGCGTTAGCGATACTTACATGAGAGCAGGCGTGCCGATAGGAGAAGAGACAGGGAGACTATGCAGATTATTCGGCTAATGAAAAGAAACAAAAATTGAATATTTATGAACATAAAATGAACCAAGATAACAAGAAACATAAATTTTCAGCAAATGAAGATATATAAGGTAAATCATATGAATTTTATGGTAACCGTTATGATATAATAGCGTTTTGAAAGTTTTCTGTTCGATAAAAAACAATTATGCTACTTACTAATTTGTTATGGAAAGAAAATCAATATAATAAGCACCAAATATAAGCATAAGCTTATTTGCGTGGTTATATTTTGTACGAAAACATTTGATGTGTTTCATATTAAATTACATCGCAGAAATATTCGAAGGTTTGGTAATCATAAAAAATTTCGTCAAATTTTCCCATCTGATTTGGGAAATCAATTATTAATTTTTCCCAAAGTTTCATTAGATTCCAATATTTGCCTAATAAAGTTTGGAAGGCAATAAAACTGCCACGACAAAGGAACTTTCACAGCACTCTTGCTCTGGAATAAATTAAACTTATGCATAACTTATGCAGAATTTAGGACAGAAAAAATCAAGCAGAAAAGTTCTTCAATAATAAAAAAGTCTATTTTAACTCACCGGTGCCGCGTCAATTATCGTAAATTCAAAACAAATTTGTGATAAATCAGAGAAAGTATTACATGCATACAAACAGATGGGTTAGTATAACTGTGATGAATTGTTAAATGAATTGCCCAATTAATTGATGAGTTGTTATGAAACCTTGAATGTAGAAAAAATCAATAACAATCAAAAATCGTCGACAAAAACAATTTGCAACAATTTGATAAATATATTTGGAATGCTTGAAATGGGCCTTTCTAAAGAATCTCAACCTTCCAAATGATGGTAGTTGTGAGCTTAAAACACAGTAACATTCGACATTATACAGAGAATGAGTAATTTTTGAACACATGTTATCATTCAAATTTTGAAGCAAATTGCCAGATTTCGCATGTTAAATTATGAAGAGTTCTAAACAAATCAGTAAAAAATCAACAAACTAACATTCAATTAATTTACATTTAAAAAGAATAAATAGAAATAGTATGTACAACTAAAATAAAATAAATTTTCTAGCAAAATCTTTCAGAAAATGGAGTAGAGTATAAAAAATGTATTAAAATTCATTCATGTTGCTTATCTGCATTTCTACGTCTGATTCAGAGTGCTGTGCACATTAATGATTTTCACAGTAAGTGAATGAGACAAAATTGTGTTACTGTGTGAAAAATATATAAAAAAAAACGCTTAATGTAGACGATTTAGCCACACATTGTCTACACATAAACGATTAACTGCGTGTTCTCTGTATTTTGTTAAATACATTCGAATTCACGGGGTCTACGACAAACGACAAAGCACGACCACTACCAGTACAGGCATGACGAGGCAGAAACAGAAGGAAGGAAGAAGTTGAGTAAAATAAGTGCTGTGCTGTGCGGAAACTTGAAAAGTGTGCCTTATTTTCCTTCTTTTAAAATGACGTGACTCGAAAAAATGCGATCTTCATTACAGCGAGATTCTGCTTTCACGACAAACGATCGGAAAAATTCAACTATGCCAACGTATGGAAATGAAATTGAAATTAATTCGCAGCGATCATCTACTATATACTGTCCAATTTACCTAATCACAAAATTTCTCTCTTCAGTAATGTTCGAAGAAAAGGATTTAGATTTAGTAAGTAGTAAGAAGAACTACATTTTCACAGCATCTAACAAAGAAAATGAACAAAAGAACGTAAAATCCTTTGAAACAAAACCGAAGTATTTTTGTTTGGAATGTTTTTCACGAGTTGAAAATTCGAACCAATTAATAAACCTAAGAATTTCTTAATAAAGTTGATAGATTGGTTACAAGACAAATTCCACTGATATAATTTTAGTTTCCAAAAGTAATGAGTTTATAACTGAAAATCTAGTCAGTAATCAACTTTCTTCAATTACTACAGAGACATATAGAATTTGTTTACAAAACGTAAGATGATCTTAATTAAACGCTGAAGATACAGCAGCCCGAGTGAGTTACTTAAAAGTTCCTTAGAAGTTGAAAGATATTTCCTAAGAAGAAGAAGAAACTCTCTACTTGTAAGTACATTGATTTAACATTCGTTGAACTCAGCAGTCGTGACTGTTATGGACTGGTGCCACTAACCTAGTGCATCGCTTTGAGCGTCAACTCGTGTATCATCGTGAGCCTCACCAGCAGCTGTAACTTGGCTTTCGAATGTCGTTTCGACTTGAGTATCGACCTCAGGCTCAAGTTCGAATTCAACTTGGACATCGCCATCGTTTTGAACTTGAAATTCTGGGGAGACTGCGGGTTCTTCTTGAAGAAGATAAGGAACTGCCTCTTGTGAGTCCTGTAAGGGGGTTGTGGGGGAGGGAGGAGCAAGCGAGGGGGGCTGCAAGCACTCATCAGCAAGCATCAGCTCAGACGGGGACTCACATTTAGCAGAAGCCTCACCCGCAGGGGCTGCATCCCCAGCAGCAGGAGCTGGGGAAGGTCCTGCTAGTGCTGCACCCTCAGCCTCTAGCTTAGCTAACTCGGCCTCGGCTGCTGCGAGAGCTTCAAGCTCAGCCTCCATGGCCGCCTTAGCCGCTGCTTCTCGTTCAGCCTTTCGTTTCTTTTTCTCGAGCCTCTTACGCTCCTTCTCATCGAGCACCTCATCTTCAGCTGCCGCCCCCTCAGATGCGTCCGCTGCAGGTGTGACAGAAGCTTCGGCAGCTGCTTCAGGTGCAGCGGCAGCTACAGCAGATGGCTCAGCAGGTGCAGCCTCAATGCTCTTGGTGTCCTCAGGCTCCTTGGACTTCTTCTTCTTGCGTCGCTCTTTGCGCTCCTCCGACACGTCAGGCTCGACAGCCTCCGACTCTGTGATGGCCTGCTCGATATGAAAACCATATGAAGTATTCACTTATTCATACGTACTCATTGCAGACAATCAATTGTTATTTTATTGGACGAACAACCGTCAATGTGAATGAATTAGTTCATTTGAAATATTATAGTTTAAGATTATAGTAATAAGCTCAGTAAAATTTTTTATATTCTAAGTTATAATATATATAAGTTTCCTATCGTTTGATCTTCGCAAGCAGAAATTGCTTGTGTTCAGTTCAAGACTTTAGTTATATGCCCAGTAATTTTTTATTATTCTAGGGTATATTATATTTAAGTCTCCTATCGTTTGATCGCGTTAAGTGGAAGATATCGCTTGTGTTCAGTTTAATATGAACGCAAGCTGTTGCCATAATATTTATCACTTTTTACAACACAAAAATATTGCACGTTTAAAATAGCTAAAATGGTAACCATTAGGTTTATCAACGCAAGCTGTTGCCATAATATTTACCACTTTTTACAACACTTTAATTTCACTACTTGTTTGTCTGTCTGTCTGTCTGCTACAAATCTTATAATCGAAATTTGACACACCTCTACTTATCCTATCGATCTGAAATTTTTGCGCACTTTTGTGAAGTTGGAGACAATGAAGGAATCAAATGACAATATAAATTTTTTAAAAATGACTTTTTTTTCATTATTAAAAAAAGTGAAAAAATAATTTTGTCAGCTACAAATCTTATAACTGATATTTGACACACTTTTACCTGTCCAATTTATCTGAAATTTTGCACACTTGTGTGAAGTCGGAGGCAATGCATGAATCAATTGACAGAATAGATAATTTTGTAAAAAATATATATATTAAAAAATTGAAAAATTAATTTTTTTAATATTCGAAAATAAAATGAGAAATTCATTGTACATCTTTAACATTGGAGACACTGGATTCTTTAGAAGTGTTGTATTTAAAAAGTAATTTTAAACGTATATTATTAATAATATGCTATGCTTTTTGACACCACGTACAAGTCTTTTTTCCCCCGTAGAATTTATTTCATTTGTTTTACCCATATGTTTTCAGATATGGAAAAGTTGAAGAAAAGAAAAGTAGAAAGTACATGGAAAAGTCCATGTTTATTCTTTTTTATTTGAGTAAATACAATTATTGGCACTGATTTTTTTGTTATTTTTATTACTTCGGCCCGCATAAATATGGGAAATATATAATGTGGCCCGCACGTTGAAAAGTTTGGAGACCCCTGTTCTAAGGTATAATATATTTAAGTCTCCTCACGTTTGATGGTGTTCACAAGCAGTAATTGCTTATGTTCAGTTCAAGACTATAGTAATATGCCCAGTAATTTGTTATTTATGTTATGGTATAAATATGAAAGTCTGCTATCGATTGATCGCGTTAACTAGAAGATATTGCTTCTGTTCAGCTTAAGATTATAGTAATAAGCTCAGTGACTTTTTTTAGATTCTAAAGTACGTATAATATATTTAAGTCTCCCATCGTTTGATCGTGTTCACAAGCAGAAATTGCTTGTGTTCAGTTCAAGACTATAATAATATGCCCGGTAATTTTTAACATATTCCAGGGAATAATATATTTAAGTACCCCATCGTTTGATCGCGTTAACTAAAAAATATCGCTTATGCTCAGTTAAGCTCAGTAACTTTTTTGTAATCTAAGGTAGAATATATTCAAGTCTCTATCGTTTGATCGTGTTCACAAGCAGAAATTGCTTGTGTTCAGTTGAAGACTATAGTAATTTTTTATTTATTCTAGGGTATACTATATTTAAGTTTCCTCTCGTTTGATCGCGTTAACTAGAAGAAATCGTTTGTGTTCAGTTTAAGATTATAGTAATAAGCTCAGTAACTTTCTTACAAGACTGCTCTTTAATAATTTTATCCTTAACCAGTATTGACATTCGATTCATGCATTGTCTCCAACTTTACACAAGTGTGCAAAATTTCAGATCGATAGGATAAGTAGAAATGTATTAAATATCGATTACAAGATTTGTAGCAGACAGACAGACAAACAAACAGACAAGAAGTGAAGTTAAAGAGAAGTGTTGTAAACAAATTTTTTTTTTTTCATTATTAAAAAAAATTAAAAAATAATTTCGTCTGCTACAAATCTTAAAATCCATATATGATACCATTTGAACTGTCCAATTGATCTGAAATTTTGCACAATTGCAAAGTCAGAGAAAATGCATGACAATTGACAGAATAAATAATTTTGAAAATTTACAAAATTTTGATATCTTAACAAAATTTTGAAAAATAACTTTTCTTTTAAATATTTGAAAATAAAGTTAGAAATTCATTGTACATGTGTAACATCCAAGACATTGGGTTGTTCAGAAGTGTTGTCTTTAAAAAGTAATTTTTAAACGCATATTATTATTTACAATTTACTTATTATCACAGCTTTGCGATGCCAAATTTTCATGTAGCACCTTGAGCTAATCACAACTAGGAAAACCTTTATTACCAGGAACTACTTCCTAGAAATATTATATTCATGCCTATATTTCCTGTTTGGTTGACAACTTATTGTGTTTGGTAATATAAAATAATCATTTAAGCAATTTTTCTGCTATTCACTTAAAATTATGTATGACATTTGAAATGAGACACATACAAAATCTAGACGAGGCATACGGGGCATACATCATACGAGGCATGCAAAAAACATATTGACTAAAAGTCTATGTACTAAAAGCCTATTTAATCTATTTTACAATACAGGCTGATTCAAAAGTGTAAAATTTCTACCAAATTGAAAACATTATTATCAAAGTGATCTACGAAAAATAGGTTAACTGTACCGACTATTTTGAGGTTATCCAACACCAGGAGTGATACTAGAGTCTCTCAACCTCACCTGTCTGCTGAAGCGAACTGAGCTGCCATCCTGCAGATGTTGCCAACAACATCGGGGAGAACCAAAAACAAATAAAATAGGGGAAAACGAATATCAAAACATTTAACTGGAAAAATGAGCGAACGAAATAATATATAAGTCTATTGCAAACAATAAGGATGGTATAATGAATGAATAATATTGAACGTTATAATATTGAACGTAATATTGAACGTATCTCGTATAATAAATGTTTGTCGTGGCATGCAATACAACAGGGGTGATTAATCGCGAGGAAGTCTTTCATCCTTCGAGATAATTTCGACAGAAACTAATTTGCAGGAAAAACTGAACTGAACAAGTTAGAACTAATGGAATTATGAACACGCTCGGCAGAAAATAATATAGAGAATTAGATCAATTTCAAGTTAAATTCCTATTTCCAATCAGTTAAATTCTTTTATGACAGCAATTACCAGAATGATTTTGTAGAAAATTTAAATAAAAAAAGTATCTTTAAATTTTAAAAATGTCGCGTTAAAAATTTGTCCAAAATTTTTTGTGAAGTCGATCAAGTTATGTTGATATTAATTTCAAAGTTCCTGACCCGTTATCAGGGAAAAGAAAATTTGCAGAACATGTCGAATTCTTTTAACGGCTCATGCAGATGAGCTCTGTACGCAATTGAGGAAAAATTTGCATCAATTCTATTGAATTAAATGCTCTTTCACTCTAAAACCGACAATTCAAATGTCTCGCTTTTGATTGCTCGGATTACTGAAAGAAATGGAAGAAGATTATTGTGTGAAAGAAATTTTCTGAGAGTCATTGGGGATCTGATATATTTTTACTATGTAAACATCAGAGGAAATTAAAAATTTGTAAATTTCTGCCGAGTATTGAAATTCTAAACTCTCATTGACTTTCATAATAATTAAGCTCTGCGACGGCGAATTAAACTTCAATTAAAACTTATCCCTCTGGTTTTGCTCACTCTAAACAAAGGGATTTATTATTACTTTAGGGCATTCAATTTTAAACATTTCTCTATCTGAGAATATACTTCGCTCGAAAGGTTCACTCTAACAAGGTTTGCATTAACCCTGAATCAATTGCATGCGTTGTGCTCACTAAAACTGATGAGTCATCAAAAATATTCAATGCATACATAACTTGAACTGTTGTCGGTGGCTTCAGAAAAAAAAACGCTTACAATTTTAACTCGGTTATGTATTAGATTAGAAGAGTGCATTGGTTAATAGGATTTCACATAGAGACTCAGCTGCATGATAGTACCAATGAGCGTTGTGTCTGCTGTGCTACTTTATGTGAGAATAAAAATTAAATTAGGAACTTCCAAAGAGCAGTGAATGAGACAAGCATTTTATAACGAATTCGCTAAACGAAAACAATGAACAAAACTGTTTGGAGCAATGCTGTTGGATAATTATAAAAAATCAAATGAAAGTTGGAAGTCATAAAACTGTACAATTTTAATGAAAAATACAGGGTAGATGTACCAAATAAAATAATTAAAAAATGTAAATAAAATAGCGAAATGGCTGCCTCGAACGCTGCTCCAAGTTTTCCTCAGGGGGGGGTGTTTACAACTACCAACCTTGGGCTGGTCTCCGAAGTAGTAATAGTCACGCACCTTCTCGGCCACGTAATCCTTCTTACGGTTGGTGTATCCATAGGTCGAGAAGAAAGAGGACCCAGTCTCTACCTTAGAATAGGGTTTCTTGTCGCTGCTGGGACCGTAGACAGTGTCGGGCTCGTCCCATTTAGCGGTGCTGCTGGACGCTCCGTATTTCGAGGCGTACTTGGAGCTGTAGCTGTCCGGCAGAACTGCACGTGATTTGATTCCGTTAAAATTGTAATTTATTGATAATAGAATTTTTAGATATGAATAGAATAAGTTGATATTATTGGCTTTCGTTAAACTCATAATTTAATCCACGGAATAGGGTACTGGATGATTGATTTCCGTGGTAAGAATAGTATAAATTGTCTTAGTGAAGAAATTGATGAATTTAAGGAGACTGCTCAGAAGTTCGAATTATTATAAATTCCGGATGATGAATCGAGATTCGAACATATCGTCTACCGGAAAAATTTTATTTCAGAGTTTCCATCCGATTTTCCTTCTTTGAGAAGTAACGTAGAAAGGTGAGATTTAACTAATTTTTTATAAAAAGGTTCAGAATAGAAAGTTTCTTTAAAAATTATTGGAAATGTAAAATAATTTTTATTGAATAACAAACCAAATGACTCAATTTAATCAAGGAAAATTATTTTTAATCACTCAACAGAGTAAATAATTTTGTCATGATTCTTATAAATATTTCACTCACCTGCCAATTAAATTTTTATGACAAAAATACGACATAAAAAACAGTTAGGTTGGTTATAGAAAAGTTAGACACAACTAAAACCATTTAAAGAAAAACGGGAACGATACGTTCGCAATCATCATGTTTTTTAAAATCAATGCAATAAAAAAAAAAAAGGGGTTGAAAAAAATGCTCTGAAATTTTCAAGCAAGCACCATTTTTTCATGCACGAGTCACTACTCATTTGAACTTATAGTGAGTTTCGAGAGAAGTCTTATGTTAGTGAAGTGATTTAGGTATTGGTGACTTACGTTGTTCCGTTTACAGTTTATAGCAATTACGTTGCAATGAAATGTAGAATTGCATTGCTCATCTTTGCATAATAACAATCTTAGTAAGTTGTCTTATTAATTTTTAATATGGTGATATAGTTAAAATCCTTAATCATAATTTTTAATTAGGTTAAAGAAATGTGGAAATTGAAATTCAGTCCTTGATCATGTTTATTTCTATGCTGAGCAAAATAATAATAAGTTTTAGATTTTAAATTTGTTGGTTGTAAGATAGAGTCAAGAAAAGTTCTTCCCTTCACGACTTAAAAAAGTTAAACTTACAAAAAAAACGAATTTATGAACAGGAATGAATTGTTAAAATCAATTTTTAAAAAATACTGCAGAAATCAAAACAGCGATGTTTATGTTTGGTGTCAGTCTACAGTCGTCCTCGATAGCGCGTCACGTTTCAATATGGAAGTAATCCATCAACCTACTTTTGGGGCTGTCGTCCATCTTAAAATTCTTTGGCTTCCAGTATTCTGTAAATAAGGAATGCATAATAAAACAAAACATTAATCAATAAATCAACTGAAACGGTGCACGAAAAGCTGAAAACGACATAGATATTATGAAAAATAGACATAAAAAAAAACGAGATATTAATAATGGTGCCAGCATGAGATGACCGGAGAATAAACTTGCTTCTTCTCTTGGAATATTTTTGTCGTTATAAAAAGAACATTGTCAGGCAGGATTCAAATCAATAATCATCGAAGCTTGATTTTAGTCTCACCAATTTAATCACCATAGGAAACAATTTAATTTACTCAATGGAGTAAACAAAATCTAATTGACATTTAATGAGTCGTAAAATCGAAATTAAATATTGTGATGCAGAATTTCACTTGCTGGAAGAACGATAATGCGACAAATAAAAAATTGGGTAATGCTATCAAGAAACATAGTTCAATGCCAGAAAACGGGGGAAAATTGATTTTAAAAAGACATAAATGCTTGGAAAGGGAGAAGAAATGCCGAATTTATCACAGTTAAGAGGCAAGTTTGACACATTGAACAGAGTTCAGCGTTAATTTGAAGCTGTTTTTACCGAGTTACCGGGAAGAAACGGGTAACGATTTTACATTAATTTTGTGATTAAGAACAGGTGAACATTGAACAAATTATTCCCGAAAAATAAAACACCAAAGTAAAATAAAAACAATAAAAAGTGACATGGGAAGATAAACTTAGGGCAATATAGGGATAGAATTACCGACCAGGAGCATAGAGCTTAGGCTTGTAGTATCCTGAAAAATAACAATTAAAGCGATGAAATAAATAAATAAAATAATAAGCCTAACAAATGTCCACGATGGCGCTTTTCTGTGCTGAACACAAAATGTCAACAGTCGATCGGTCACTATGGAATATCGGTAAATATGAGTACTATAAAATGCCATTATTCTGATAATTCAATATAGCGTTCATAATCAAGCTTTATCTTAACCATGTCATTGATAACATGAATAATGGGATATTTGAGCTCCTTAAACTTTTTTGAAGAACCGTCATGTTCTGAAGAAGATTTCTATTCCAGTAATGACTTATATGCAGTCCATCGTATTTATAGTCACACGATAAGTATTTTGTGTTCATGTAGAAACAACGTAAATCACAGAGAGTAAATAGGACAAAAATATAGGAACAAAAAATTTTTCCCAACTTACCACTGCGATAGGTAGCGTCTGGAAATCGAAAATTCTTATCAATATTCTAGTCAATATAGATCAGTGAGCTTGAATAGAATGAAAGCGGCTCTCCGTACTGTTCAGTGTATGTCAGATTCCATGAAATGTAAACGTTCAAAATTTTTTACCATCAACATTGTAGTAAAATGTAATATATAATGTAAAGCGGGTAAAATCCTTAATCTAAATGTATCCAGAAACCACTGATGAGCAAAAACTCATCGGCGTTTGACTGCAATTCAATTTCGAATCCAATGAAGCTCCACACTAGCCACCATGATGATATTGGCCAGTGATATTAAGATCTTCACTCGCACATATTATTCTTCCATGCATTTGCAACAGACAATATCAATGGCGACCAGTGCAGTGCTTTTGCCCACCGCTTCTCTAACGAATGAAAATTCGTGTTTAAGATGTTTCATCGAAATTATCAATTACTAACGCTAAATATTAGCACGAAAATTAACATCCTTGCAGTACAGTTTATTCCTAGGTTTATGTCACTAAACAACTAATAAATAACAATGGTCAATCAGATGTGAAATTAATTTTTTTTCCTCTTTAGATCTGACATGGACAGGTCTTTTAATTATTTTGATACTGAAATTAAATGTTCAACCAATTTTCCAGAGGAAAAGTATAATCACTCTTAATTAATAGTTCAAGATGGCCGAACTTAGGCCGTGTTACTCAGAAGAAAGATTACAATTTAGAAAAATCAATGTTGAACATTAGGTTATTGTAGGGAAACTGAATTTGCAGCTAAACGCGTCTAGGATAATACCAATTGTATTGGAAATATTATTATTCAATTATCTTCGAAAAAAACGAATGCACTACTAAGGTGTGATCCTGAAATTTATCACTATGAATATTCATCCACTTCTATGTTCTGATTTTCAGTTGTGAATCCTCAGGATTTGAGGTGTGTTGGAATATAAGGTATTAAACAGGCAAGGACAAAGTACGAAATGTCTTGTTAAATATATTTACAGAATACTTAAATTATAGGTATATTGCGTATTTTCAAGCGTTAGTTACAAAACTTTTGCATTAGGTAAGGAACGCATCGCGAAACTACCGTCACTTATTATAT